AAAAATATAAATTACTTTACATATTTCAAACAAAATTATGATAAACTACCATTAAGCCGCTTAAAAATCACTGTTTTTATATATTAATATTTAACATCAAATTCTATACATATACGTTATCACTAAAATCATTTATCGCACCTGTTTATAGTGATTAACTTCATTGTCATATTTATCACTGCTAAAAGAAAATTAGTGCCGGAGCGTAGAAATAAATACTTGCAATACTTTCAAATAGTTAATAATAATGCATTATTTAAACATTCAATACGGATTTATTTACACATTTTATTAATTATATTTACATTAGTGGGAAACTTTAATATTAACACATATATGGTTTACAAAGGATGAACATATAATACGTTATACTAGTTCGATATTTTATCAAAGGAACCAAACACGAAAGTTATTCATCGCTTTTTTTCTGTCAACCTATAATCAACATCACTTTTGTACACAGTATTTTAATGTGTTTTTGTATTTCAGCCCCTCTATTTTACAAAACAATTATATTTATTAGTAAAATTTTTTTTGTATAATAACTTTTATACCATAAGTTGTAAACAATTGGTAGCATTCTAAGTTCGATACGTTAAATTTTTTTTTTATAGGATAAGGGTGACAAACGAGCACACAGTCCACCTGATGGTAAGTGGTTGCTGCGGCCCATAGACATCTACATCTATCCTCTATTACAAATCAAAATGTAGATGCGTTGTCACCCGTGAGGACTAAGATGGAAAGCCTTATTTACAGTAAAAAGGGCCTCCGGCCACCTGCACTCACCAAGCGAGACGCAGAGGTAAACCCGGTAACCCCGGTTCGAGCCGGCCCATCCGTGCAAAGCAAAAGCTGCCGCGTGGCTCTACCACTGTTAAATAAAAGTAAAGATCTAAAAATATATTATCAAAATACACGGGAGCTGAGAACTAAATGCTTGTAATTAAGACAACAGATTTTAAGAAATTATTATGATATTATTGTAATAACTGAGACATAGTTGCATAACGGGATTATCGACATGCAGGTATGAAGTCTTTCGGTGTGATCGAGACTTATTATCATGCGATAAAAAGACAGGAGGTGGGGTCATGATCTTAGTGTGTAATGAGTTATGTGCAACTCCCGTAGTTACTGAGTGTCTGAATAACTGCTCACCGCCTGATATGTTTATGCTGTTAGTGCCGGCACATGCAATTTCTGCTACTGCAGATTTATACATTATTGCGATTCACATCCCTCCTAATGTATCACACATTCCAGTTGAAATAGATTACTTACTGCAAAGGCTAAAATCTGTGGTAATCTCAAATAGTACTGGTAAAAATATTTTAGTTTTAGCTTAATCGGTGATTTTAATCTTCTATGCATCTCATGGAGTACACATTTAAATAAAGGCACTGTTGAAATTAAAAGTGCTGGTGTAAGATTAACAGATGAACTGAGCTTTCTCGGGCTCAAGCAATATAGCAGTTTTAAAAATTATGCCGGTAATACTTTAGATTTGGCATTTTCAAATCTTCCACTTGAAGTCGCAATTTGCAACTCGCCCCTCATAAAGGTTGACTGCGCCCATCCTCCGTTAGTGCTGGAAATTTTAGACGTCTCAATCACACCGTTTACTGAAGCATCTAAGTCTAAATATGATTTTAATAAAGCCAATTATAAGAAACTAAATGAAACTCTAAATAGCGTCAATTGGAGAACACAATAACTTTTATAATGTAATAAATGATGCTATATGCCAACACGTATCACTTAAGTCCCATCATAATAAATATAAATACCCTATCTGGTACATTCCCGCTTTAATAAAAATAATTAAATCAAAATCAAACGCACACAAAAAAATGGAAGCGTTCTGATAATTTGTTAGATTACGACGTGTTTTCATTATTATGTAAACGGCAAAATCGAATTCTGGATGCTTGCTTTGCTATCTATACTCAACGTACCGAGAAAGCCATTAAATACAAACCGAGAATATTCTGGTCATACGTTAAGTCTTTGCGTGGTGGATCGAATTATCCAAAACAATTATCATACCTCGGCAATAAAGTAAGGGGTGGTAAAGATATATGTGATACTTTGATACTGTTTTCAAAAACATTTTCGGTGACCCTTCTAATAAAATATTAAAAGAAGGTAATGTCACTTCTACATATGATAATATATCTAAACTGTTTATCCCTACATCCACTATTGAGAAAAGACTTAGACTCCTTGATATTTCTAAAGGAGCAGGATGCGACCGCATTCCCCCTTTATTTTGGCGTAACTGTACTAAAACTTTGTGTGTCCCTATGGCTATAATTTTTAATGTGTCTCTTAGCGAAGATGTATTTCCGGATATCTGGAAAAGAGCACACATTGTTCCTGTACATAAAAAGGGAACTAAAACTAAAATTGAAAATTATAAGGGCATTTCAATTTTAAATACTATTGGCAAAGTTTTTGAGAAAACCGTTTATGATGTTATATATCCCGTAATATGTAAGGTCCAACCACTCAACACAGATTTCTAAGGTATCGTTCTACTATCACTAATCTGACGTGATTTTCTAATTATGTTTTATCTAATATGGATGGAGGCGGTTAGGTAGAGGTGGTCTACACAGACTTTGGAAAAGCTTTCGACCGTGTGAACCACGTCATCTTACTAAATAAACTATAATTGTTAGGCATACATGGGGATTTATTGAGGTGGATTAAATCCTATTTGAGTAACAGGTCCCAGGCAGTTGTAATAGGTGGCTATAGATCGGACTTTATCGAAATACCAACAGGCATTCCTCAAGGATCACATCTAGGGCCTTTACTGTATAACGCCTATATCCACGATATTACTACTTGTTTTAAGTTTTCACAATATTTAATGTACGCCGATGACAAAAATTTTTTTACAATATCCGTACTGAACAGGACTGTCATCAAATGCAAAGTGATTTAATCGCTTTATTAGCTTATTATACTGCTAAAAACATAACAATTAATATTAATAAATGCGAATGTATGAGCTCCACACGTAAAAAAAAAAACCCCTATTTCATTCTCCTACAATTTTAACGGTATTCCAATACAAAGAACATCTAATGTTAGAGATTTAGGACTTCACTTTGACAGTAAAATGCTTATATCAGAGCATGTTGACGATATTGTTAACAAGGCTTTTAAAAATCTTGGATTACATATTAAGAACTTGCAAGCCTTTTAAAGATATTAATACCCTTAAAATTATGTATAATGCTGTTCGTAGTATATTAGAATATGCCAGTCCAATTTGGTCTCCCCAATACGCTCGCTACTTATAAAGATCGTATAGAACGCATACAGGAAAAAATCATCAATTATCTACATATTATAGTTTTTTCAAATCACCACTTGTAACCTATGCAAGTACTTGTCAATCTTATAATTTATTGACACTCGAAAACAGACGTAAATTAATGGACGTATGTTTTTTGTATGATATAGTCCGTGGACACGTAGACTGCCCTGAGTTGGTAGCGAGCATAACATATAATGTACCGTCGCGTCGTGTCCGCCGTTGGCCGCCCCCTTTATTGCATGTGCCGTTTGCTCGCACCAATTATGCACGAAATACGCCTATAAACCGATTGCTCAGGACATACAATGAGATCTTTAGTGATATAGATCTCTTTGTTTTTAGTAAACCAGCCTTTAAAGCTCAAGCTATTACAATTCTAAATGAGGTGCAAAATTAGTAAATCATTTTGATTTACTTAATCATGATGATCATCATTGCAGCCCTTCACAAGTCCACTGCTGAACGTGGACCTCCCCCAGGGAATGTCACAAGGCACGGTTCTGAGCCACATGCGTCCTTCGACATCCTACATGTCTTACCAGGTCGTTTTTCCATCTAGTGGGACTCTCTACACAAAAATAAATAAATAGTAATCAACATAAATCAACTCTATTATAATATGAAAATGACTTTATACTTTGCATCATTTAGTATAATCATTTCTTACTTGATTGTTTATCGTTTATGGCATTAGTGGTGTAAATTTGACATTAGTGTAATGGTATAGAAAAATAAATAAATAAACAGGTGTGATATTTCATTAAATTGAATTAAATTACGTAAAAGAATTTGGCTGCATTTAAACGTTTTGCAGAGAAATAAATGATACAAATATTACTTCTACATACCCATATACAAAAGTGTAATTAGTATAAACATTTAGTTACATATTTGTGAACATATATATAATTAGATAAATACATACATATTATTATAAATCCAAAGAATAGTTAAATTGTATGGTCCATAATATATTTTGTTTATATAACTGAAAAAAAAACTTTAATAGGCCTTACATTTAAGCTGTATACTTTAAGTCCTTAAAAATTTTAAATCGCTGTTGGTTTTTTAAAATAAATAAAGAAAATCTGTTTAAAATATATATCTCTGGCCATTTTAACTAAGCGTCAATAAATAAAGGAAAATATAAATTCTGAAATTTGTCTGCAAAATCAATATGAACCCTTTCAAATGGCTCGGATGGGTATTCCTAAGTATATTTTGAAGCTATGGCTTGGGGTGAGTTCAGTTGTAAGGAACACTCCATGCAATTATTAGCTACATTTTTAAAGTCACTGTCAATACCTGGCCACCAACAATAGCTTCGTGCCAATGCAAGCATCCTAGTAACCCCGGAGTGACATAAGTGTAAATCTTTCAAAATTGCATTCCTGAAGCATACAGGTATTACCACCCATATCCCTCTCATTATACATTCAACCTGCAAAGAAAATTATATTTGATCTATACCAAATTTCTCATTATAAGAAACTTTGCTTCCCGTTTTGATGCCCAATAACAATGGCTTTAAAGACTCATCCTCTTTTGTGGCGGCCGCTATATCCTTTGCAGTGATGAGCAACACATGAATCATTCCAATTTGATAAATCTCCGCCTCTTCCAAGGAGATAGGAGAAACTTCTTCAGGGGCTGGCGAACGTGAAAAGCATCAGCATTGGCTGAATGTTAAAATTCTTGTACTTAATATCATATTGAAAACCTTGTAAAAAATTGCATAATGTTGCATAAGTGTATAAGAGAGATGTGGTAAAGCTTTAGTAGGAGAAAATATTTGGAATAAAGGTTTGTAGTCTGTAAATAGAACAAACCTTCTTCCATAAAGATATTGAAAAAACCGTTTCACTCCAAATATAATAGCATTTGCTTCTTTATCAATTTGTACCCATTTACGCTGTGTAGAGTTTAGTGTTTGTGAGGCAAACTGAATTGGATGTTCAGCACCATCTGGCATTACATGTGAAAGTACTACCCCAACCCCTGTTGAAGAAGCATCGGTAGCCAAGGTTAATGGCAGGTCTGGTGAGTAATGAGCCAAAATTGTATTCGAAAGCATTTGTTTTTTTTTAATTATTTGTAATAATTTTTCACACTCAGCAGACCAATGCCAGATAGAAACCATTACATAAGCCATTTTCTTAATAGATTATCTATTAAGGAAAGAGCTTATGTAATGGTTTCTATGGTTATAAAATGTCACTTAAATTTGGAAAGAATCTCCCATAATATTTGACAAGACCCAATAGAGCTTGTAATTCAGAAATATTTGTAGGTTTGAGGGCATTAACAACAGCCTGCACTTTTATGAATTCCTTGTCGGCTAATTTTGTAACCACAATATCCAATCTCATCTTTATTGAACTCCGATTTCTCTAAATTGACTTTCAAACCAAATTAAGAAATTCTAGCAAACACCTGTTCCAGCCTATTTAAGTGCTCAGCATCATTTGTAGCAGTAATACGAATGCCATCAATAAAGCAGTGTACTCCTGATATGCTTTTCAATATATACTTAATTTTTCTTTGCTTTATATCAAAGGGGCCAGGGTGGTTTGGAGCGGGACAGAATCCATTGGCAGATTGAATAATTTTTTTGTTAACGAAAAAGTGATGAAATTCATCACAAAGGTTTCTTTTCTTTTATATATACATAAGTACAATTATTATTACATCAAAAAACTATTCAAATTAAAATAATTCTTTATTAGCGCCTTTCATAGATCACGCTACCGTACAGTACCGGATATTTGTCACAGCTGCGACTGTAGCCAAAAATGGACGTAATACACTAAAATGCTCACCGCACAGTTACGGCCCATCCCGTCTTTAATGGACGTCTATATTTAATGGACCTTTTTTGAAACTATCAGACATAATATGGTGACAGGTTCACATAAACCACTATTACATTTTACTTTTAAAAGTATGTATTATACTTTCAGATGACAGTATATTACACTTTAGAAAAAAAGCCAATGCTAGGAGAACTTATGCTGTATGCTTATGCGATGCTGGAAGATAGAGGAGCTTGGAATGAAGAAAAACGACATCAGGCATATTTATTGGCTTGTGTTATTGAAATGGTAGGTATAATTTCAAGATTCCTGTTAAAATAATTTCTAATTCTTTTTTGGCTAACGCTATCATAATTTTACCTTTGCCGAATGAAAGTCTAATTGATTTGAATATGCTTAAAATGCAGTAAAAGAATTATAATATAATCGCCTCGCGAATCATATGTATAGGAATGGATGTACTTTTGCAAGGATTTGTGATCTATCAATTGTGATGTAATAACGGTGATCATGAATGTATATTTTTTTATAAAACGGAAGTGACAAAAAAACTTACCAAACTTATCTGAGCGAAAGTTCAAATAAACTACCACTTGCTATGTATTTATCTATATTTCGCTAAAAATATATCATTGTATTCGAATGATTCAGTCGATACCCGGTGTTACTCACAAATCTTTGATATGATCATTATCATAGCTAATGTTGCTCTCTGGGTCATGCACAATGCAATATCAATTTTATTTAGCTCAATAGAAACAGAAACAAAAACAGAAACGTTTTTATTTAATATAGGTTATAAAATAAATAATACTTATTCAAAGCCACTTTTTTGTTTAATTACCACTAATGTTGCTCTCTGGGTCATGCACAATGCAATATCCATTTTATTTAGCTCAATAGAAACAGAAACAAAAACAGAAACGTTTTTATTTAATATAGGTTATAAAATAAATAATACTTATTCAAAGCCACTTTTTTGTTTAATTACCACTAATGTTGCTCTCTGGGTCATGCACAATGCAATATCCATTTTATTTAGCTCAATAGAAACAGAAACAAAAACAGAAACGTTTTTATTTAATATAGGTTATAAAATAAATAATACTTATTCAAAGCCACTTTTTTGTTTAATTACCATTGGTTCGAATAAAAACCTCTGTCCTGGGAGAATCCACAAGAAACCCAGCGGGACTTCTTTTTTAAATAACAATTTACAATCACGTATTTTACACAATTAACCACACAAAACAAATTATAAATAGCTTGGTAGCGATCACCTCATTCCCAGGGGTTATTATCATCCATAAATATTTGAATTTTTTTTTGAAAAGTTTTTGAACTTTGAGCAAGTCAAATTTTGTATAATTTTGTTTTAAAAGCGTATACAAAAATGAATTACTGACTCGGTGGAGTCGAGTAACTGGTACTACTAGCTTGAGTCTGTTCCTAGTATTTACAGAATGAATATCATATTTCATACATATTATTCTTGTACAACTACTTTTATTTTTAACATTTCATTTGCATAAATGTCTCGAGAGGCCAAAGTTAATATATTTTAATTTCCTTAATTTTTTGTCGGAGCGACTCTTTAGGTTTTAAATCAAAGATTGCTCTTATGGCCCTCTTCTGTAAAACAAATATAATTTCAGTGTCAGTCGCGTGTCCCCATTGCAAAATACCAAACGACATTATGCTATGAAAACAGCTAGAGTAAACAAGTCAAGCTGTTTCCACACTGGTAAGATTTCTAATCTTCTTTACAACATATGCTGCAGAACTAAGTCTGCTTGCTAATTTTGATATATAGGGGCTCCATTTAAGCTTCGCGTCTAGTGTTATTCCAAGAAAATGGTAGTATCGACAAGACCCCCCATTTAATATTATTACATTATTATTTAAATGTTTGACATTTGGAGACATGAATTTTATACATTTCGTTTTAGTGCCATTTCAATGCAAGGTATGAACATTAAACCAATTTACTAATTTAGATATAGCATTATTTACTTCGTCATATTTTAATAATTGTCATTTTAATTTGAAAATGAATGAAGTGTTATCAGTAAATAATACTATATTATGGTTATCCCATATTATGTAAGGTGAGTCATTAATATATACAAGAAACAGAAAGGGGTTGAGAATTGAGCCTTGAGGCACGCCCATTTGTAATGTCGACCCGGAAGAGCTCATACTATTAATGACAACTTTTGCGTTCTGTTATTTAAATATGAAACAATAAAAATTAATTTAAGAGCATTACTTTGTGGCAAAGAGATTCCATCAAATACATAATATTGTCACGGCCTAATAATTAGTAAATAGGTACTCAATAAATTGCACATATTATCATGCATAAAAATTGAACACGATGAATTTCAGCTTTATTTTCATTACATAGTTAAATTTATATAATATTATGCAGATAAATATGATCGATGTGCCACGGTACAATGATACATTCAGTCATATCTATGAACTAGACTATTACTGAATCAATCAATCAATCTATATAGTTTTATTTTAGATCAATATATATTAAAACGAAAACAAAATGAAGGTAATTATATAGAAGGTAACATTAAATCTTTTTGGGCAAATAACTGTTGTTTACAACGAATGGCAAATAAGGAAGGTGTATATTTTACAGTATATAATTGAAAGTAAAGACTAGAAATGAGTTGAGGGGTGACTCGAACTCTAGGCCTAGTCAGTTTGAATAGCCTACCACGTAGAGGATGTCATGGATGTTATGGTTGAATAGGGGCAAAAAGTTCTCATTATACTCCTAGGGGGTCACAATGGCCAAAAACCAAAAAATTAAAAATTCTTATTACGGCTATAACTCTGCCTCCTTCGGAGGTTCTTACACAGTCTTTACTTCCCCACTTGTTACATAAGTACTACTATATATATATATATATATATATATATATATATATATATATATATATATATATCACTCTAAGGTGTACATAAGTTAGACAATTAAGTGAAAGAAAAACACAAGGTGATGACAGTTAAGGATGGGTATGGTGTACAATAAAAGATGTAAAATATGATGGGAAATATTAAACCTCGAGTTCCACAAGCTCACAGCTGTAACCGAAAATAATTTATTGAAGAAGGAGGATCACTGTGCTGGAATACGAAGTTAAAGATTATTAGTGAAATTAGATGACAATCGTCAGAGGAGATGAACTCAAAACGGTCTTTTAGGTGATGTGGAGTGGAGAGATTGAACGGTATGGCGCAAAAAGTAAAAAGGATGTGATTATTCCTGCGAAAGCGAATCGGCTGCCACTTGACACTTACGATATTATGAAATGTGATCATATTTACGGAGTTACTGAAAGACGGAAACTAAAGATAGATAGACAATCGAGGGTGTGCCTGCTGTACTACCATATGTCGAAGTTGTCACAGACAAGATTGGTTTCATATTAAAGCTAATTTCCATAAAAACATAATTTAAGACGTCGAATACAAATGTATTGTGTATATTGTCAAATATATTCAAATTCAAATAAATTATTGATTAATTTTACCTTTGAAAAACTTTATTAAACAAAGTTCGTCAAAGGGTTATTATAATATTAAGGAATTTATGGTTGACAATGCCGTGTAGTGGCGGTTCAGAATATCCACTACCCCATATCTTCCAGTGGGTGTCGTAAAAGGCGACAAAGGGAAACAGGTAGGAGATGGGCAGCAGCATCTTCTTGATAACAACAAACATGCAATAAAAAATCTGCGGTTGCCAACCCGCTCGCCAAGCGTGGCAACTATGGCAAATACCCCCCTATGACGAGAGTAACAAAGAAACGGCCCCCAGTCCCCGGCGGCGCCGCTATTCCTGGCTACGGTGGCGACCATGGTAACGGCGGGGCAGGGGGTGCTAAGAATCTCCGGTGGAGATTCGGTTGCCACCTAAGACGACTGGACCTGGAAACATACAACGCATGCACCCTGAGGACTGACGAGAAGATCGTGGAGCTGGAAGAAGAGATAGACAAGTTACGCTGGCATATTATAGGATTATCCGAAGTCCGAAGATAGGGGGAGGACACGGTAATCCTCGAATCCGGCAACTTCCTCTATTACCAGGAGGGCGACCATCTGTCCCAAGGAGGTGTCGGATTTATCGTCCACAAGTCTCTCGTTAACAACGTAGTAAAGATCGGGAGTGTGTCGACGAGGGTTGCGTACCTTATACTCAGAATCATCAAACGGTATTCGCTGAAGGTCATACAGGTTTACGCACTAACCTCGGCACACTCCGATGAGGAGGTGGAGGAAATGTATGAGGATAACTCTAGAGCCATGCATTCCTCCAAAACCCAATATACGGTGTTAATGGGAGACTTCAATGCAAAACTAGGCACAAGAGAGAACGGTGAGCTGAAAGTAGGGAAATTTGGAATAGGGCAACGGAACCCAAGGCGCCAGCAGCTGGCCGACTTCATGGAGAAAGAGGGAATCTTTATGATGAACTCTTTCTTCCAGAAGCGGCCCCACAGGAAGTGGACCTGGTCGAGCCCCGACGGTTCGACAAAAAATTAAATTGACTACATTATGACGACCAGACGACAACTGTTCAGTGATGTCTCAGTGATCGCGAGGGTGAAAACAGGCAGCGATCACCGAATGGTAAGAGGCACACTGAACCTAAACGTTAAGATGCAGAGATATCGTCTTATGAAGTCAACCCTCCGTCCCCCTCGTGCTCTGTTCCAGAGTCCCGTAACCTTTCAGCTCGAGTTACAAAACCGTTTTGAGTGCCTAGAAGACTGCAATGAAGTGGACGATATGAATGACAAGCTCGTGGAAACTGTCCATGTGCTCGGAGCTAAGTTCTGCAAGACCAACCGCAGAAGAACATAAAAACTCTCCGATCACACTCTTAATCTCATGGCTGTTAGACGGGAGATGAAGCTACATTCTTCAACAGATTTGACAGCACAAAGGCAACTGAACAGACAGATCTCCAAATGCATGCGGCGGGACTTACGCAACTTCAATACAGCTTGTATTGAAGAAGCGATCGAGCGGAACCAAGGCTCCAAAGTATTTGCCAGAGATCTGTCTGCCAGAAAGAGCCAACTGTCAAAGCTGAAGACGGAATGTGGCAGCATCGTTTCCGGGACACCTGAGATTTTGAGTGCGATTGAGAGGTTCTATGGGCAGCTGTACACGTCATCGTTGGAGCCACACGCAAGTGTGAGTAACGATCCAAGAGCGAGCCTTATCCGATACTATTCCGAAGATATTCCGGACGTCAGTCTGAGCGAGATTATAATGGCCCTATAGCACTTTAAAAACGGCAAGGCTCCAGGCGAGGATGGAATTACAGCGGAGCTTCTGAAAGCGGATGGAAGACCGGTACTTGAAGTCCTTCAGAAGCTCTTAAATTCCGTCCTCCTTGGTGGCATTACACCGGAGGCGTGGAGCAGAAGTGCGGTGGTCTTGTTCTTCAAGAAAGGTGACAACGCTCTTTTAAAGAACTACAGACCGATTTCCCTTCTGAGCCGCGTCTACGTGCTGTTTTCGAGAGTCATTACGAAACGTCTCGCGCGCAGACTTGACGACTTCCAACCTGCCGAACAAGCCGGTTTCCGAAAGGGCTTTAACACCATAGATAACATACATACCCTTCGGCAAATTGTACAGAAGTCCGAAGAGTACAATTTGCCACTATGTCTGGCGTATGTGGACTATGAGAAAGCCTTTGATTCTGTCGAAATTTGGGCGGTGCTGCAGTCTCTTCAGCGGTGCCAAGTTGACTGTCGGTATATCGAAGTGCTGAAGTGTATGTACAGTAGAGCTACGATGGCTATCCGAATACAGATCCAGAGTACGAAACCTATCCAATTGCAGAGAGGTGTAAACTGGGTGATGGTATATCCCCGAAACTCTTACCGTATCCTTTTCAGTCTTGAAAACGTCTTCCAATGCAGCGGGCATTGGAAGACGTTTTCAAGCTTCTGGACTGGAAAGGATACGGTATTAACATCAATGGCGTCACTCACCTTCGATTTGCCGACGATATGGCAGAGTCGCTGGAGGAACTAAGCACCATGCTCAATGACCTCAATAGTCTCTCCCAACGGATAGGTCTTAAGATGAACATGGACAAAACAAAGATCATGTTTAATGTCCATGTCACACCTATGCAAGTAGTTGCTGGGAACACTAAGCTCAAAGTTGTTGACGAGTATGTTTACCTGGGACAAATAGTCCAACTAGGTAAGTCAAACTTCGACCAAGAGGTCAATCGACGGATTCAACTTAACTGGGCAGCGTTCAGGAAACTACGACATATCTTCTCGTCAGGCGTACCTCAAAACCTTAAAATGAAATTGTACAACCAGTGCGTGTTGCCAGTGATGACTTACGGATCTGAGACGTGGTCCTTCACTGCTGGCCGTATGAGGAAGCTCAAGGTCACTCAGCGAGCTATAGAGAGGGCTATGCTCGGGGTTTCTCTGCGTGATAAACTTAGAAATGAGGATATCCGCAGTAGAACCAGAGTAACCGACATAGCCCAACGGATTAGTAAGCTGAAGTGGCAGTGGGCCGGCCATATAGCTCGAAGAACCGACAACCGATGGGGAAGAAAGGTTCTCGAGTGGCAGCCTCGTACCGGTAGGCGAAGTGTAGAGCGACCCCCCACTAGATGGAGTGACGACCTGGTAAGACATGCAGAAAGTCGATGGATGCAGGTGGCTCAGGACCGTGCTTTGTGGCATTCCTTGGGGGAGGCCTATGTTCAGCAGTGGACTTATAAAAGGCTGTAATGATGATGATGATGAATAACTATTAGGAATGAGGTGATCGGTACAAAGCTATTTATTGCTACTTATGTAATATGATTCTAAACAGTCATTGTTTTTCAAATAAAGTCCCGTTCGGTGTCTTGATGGTCAGAGATATTTTCTGAACCCGTGTAAATTAAAATTAAGAGTGACTTTATATAAGTATTATTTGATAATCTATATTGAATTAAAAAGATTCTGATTCTGTTTCTACCGTCATTATATTTATTATCCAATTGATCCCTCTTTTTTGAAGTAGGTGTAAAACATGTAACATATTTTTCTAATCAACCTTGTTTTGCAGAGTATATCTTATTTCTTATTTACCGACGATATACAAGATGATGGAAAAATACGCTGTGGTAAAGTTTGTTGGCATCTGTTACCAGACGTTGGCACATTAGCCATGAACGACGCATGTTTGCTGCGTAGCTTCATACAAGAACTGTTGCTACAAAATTTCTCTGAACCCATGTTTTTTAAAATCATGGAAGTTCTTAATAAGGCATGTTAAAATTCGTAGTCATATGTTCGCTTTTGATAATTTACAAATTATAAATCATTACTTTGTAGATGTCTGTTCTTTACAATTTTTTTAATTAAGTGTGCCAATATCGCTTTTACATTTTAATGAAACAATTAGTACATTAATTTTCATGTGTATGATTGCAACTTTTACAGACTTATTTTTCAACCGCGATGGGGCAGCACATGGACCTATCTTTAGAAAGAGATCGAAATTTTGATAACTTTATTATGAAATGTTACTGTGAAGTTAATGAAATGAAAATGGCATTTCCCGTATTAGAGATGCCCATAATTGTTGCTCTCATTTTATCAAATAAAGCCACTAAAGAATCAATGCAACAAATTCACAACATTTGTGTTGATATTGGTATATTATTTCAGATTCAGGTAATTTAATATTCAAAATTTATAAATCTGCATCACAATCTTGTGACAATAATCAGTATGATTACCTAAAAGTAGAGTCACAACATATACTAGATTCTACTGCTGGGAATAAAGCTTTTGTCATTTCTGAGAGTTTTATGGCAGGACCGCCGCACTGTGTCAGTGTATTGGTGGAATGCACAATCCCACCAAATATCTTATTTGGCAGCAGATTTTCTCACGTTATTTTTGTTCAACGCCGGAATAGTGGTAAATCAGCACTTAAAATGTCTTTCATAGTTTCATGGCTGCCGAAGGAGGATTTAACTCAGATAGCGAGCATACAATAAAATTAATCGTTTGCTTGAAATGGTAATCGTGAAAATGTTTGTTGCAAGTTGTAATCCTTATTGTTTTCTACTTTTGGATACATATTAATACTTATTTTATTGAACTTTAGAATGACATCACAGATTTTTACAACTGGGAGGGATTGATAAAATCTTCTACGGATATTCAAAAAGGCAAATGCTCTTGGTTAGCAGTGAAAGCATTGGAGCTAAGTAACGAAGATCAACGACGCATCTTCAAGGAATGCTATGGAAGTTGGGATCCGACCCATGTACATAAAATTCGAGAATTGTATGAGGAATTAAAATTACCACAGATATTTGTTCAAGAAAAGGAAGCGCGATATAAAATATTTTTCAAAAAAATTAACGAATTGCCTCCAGGTTGCGTGCCTGACGTGAATTTCTATCAAAAGCTTTTTAAACTTATCGAAAAGTTTGAAATATAAAAAAATCAATAACGCCACCTCGCCTGATCAACGTTTCGTGTAGTGTTCGCATAAATATAAGAAATCATCATAATACAGGATTTTAATTTAATGACGATTATGTTAATAAAAATTTGCTGACTATTTTGAAAAATAAATGAAAATTAATCACGCATCTTTTTTTTATTTAAGAGGGATGACACTAAACTCTTCTTTATATTACAGAGATTATTATTATTGTATATATTGACTATCACAGTTTTTTTTTAAATAAATTAATAATTTATTAAAATAAATTATAGACTATTTTTATTAAATAACTGGATTAAGAAATTTAATATCGATATAGAAAGAAAATTATAAAATGTTGTAAGAGTTAAATGTGTTTTCATTTGTATAGAGGTAATGAATGATAAGGTCAGGTTGGACAAAAATATCGTACTTTAGACATGATTTAGATACCTGAGGAAAAAATATACTCGCATATGTAATTACTCAATGCTTAGTCGAATGCATTTTAAAATACTTTTATGTTAATCACGATAAAAAAATATACCTACTTAATTTATTTGCAGGCAAAATGTCTTGACCATTAAGTTTTCGTTTTATTAAGTGATAACCATTGGATTGGCCATTTTATGCATACACTCATTCAAATCTTACATTCGCTAATCACCCATTCACTCACACATTGGTCGTTTTCCCATTTCTGATTGCTCCCTACCTCTTCAGTCTACGATCGATATGTCTATAATAAATGTAAAATGTTAAATTTGAAATGTTAACCATCTTTATAAAAGATCAAAGCAAAAATCCCGCTCGCAATTACAGCTAAATCTACAACCCGTTAAACATGACGTCATCGGTAGACAGCCTTTCATAAGTCCACTGCTGAACATAGGCCTCCCCCAAGGAGTGCCACAAAGCACGGTCCTTAGCCACCTGCATCCATCGACTTCCTGCATGTCTTACCAGGTCGTCACTCCATCTCGTGGGGGGTCACCCTTCGCTTACCGGTACGAGGCTGCCACTCGAGAACCTTTCTTCCCCATCGGTTGTCGGTTCTTCGAGCTATATGGCCGGCCCACCACCACTTCAGCTTACTAATCCGTTGGGCTATGTCGGTTACTCTGGTTCTACTGCGGATATCCTCATTTCTAAGTTAATCACGCAGAGAAACCCCGAGCATAGCCCTCTCCATAGCTCGCTGAGCGACCTTGAGCTTCCTCATACTCGTTTTAAGGTTTTGAGGTATGTCTGATGAGAAGATGTATCGTAGTTTCCCGAACGCTGCCCAGCCGAGTTGAAATCGTCGATTGACCTCTCGGTCGAAGTTGGACTTACCTAGTCGGACTATTTGTCCTAGGTAAACATACTCATCAACAACTTCGAGCTTAGTGCTACCAACAACTACCGGCATAGGTGTGACATGGACATTAAACATGATCTTTGTTTTGTCCATGTTCATCTTAAGACCTATCCGTTGGGAGACACTATTGAGGTCATTGAGCATGGTGCTTAGTTCCTCCAGCGACTCTGCCATAAGGACTATATCGTTGGCAAATCGAAGGTGAGTGATGTACTCGCCATTGATGTTAATATCGTATCCTTTCCAGTCCAGAAGCTTGAAAACGTCTTCCAATGCAGCGGTGAAGAGTTTCGGGGATATAACGTCATCCTGTCTTACACCTCTCTGCAATTGGATAGGTTTCGTATTCTGGTTCTATACTCGGACAGCCATCGTAGCCCTACTGTACAAGCACTTCAGCATTTCGATATACCTACAGTCAACTTGGCACCGCTGAAGGGACTGCAGCACCGCCCAAATTTCGACGGAATCAAAGGCTTTCTCATAGTCTGCATACGCCAGACATAGTGGCAAATTGTACTCCTCGGACTTCTGTACAACTTGCCGAAGAATATGTATGTGGTCTATGGTGCTAAAGCTCTTTCGGAAACCGGCTTATTCGGGAGGCTGGAAGTCGTCAAATCTGCGCGCGACACGATTCATAATGACTCTCGAAAACAGCACGTAGACATGGCTCAGAAGGGAAGTCGGTCTGTAGTTCTTCAAGAGAGCGTTGTCACCTTTCTTGAAGAACAAGACCACCGCACTTCTGCTTCACGCTTCCGGTGTAATGCCACCATGGAGGACGGAGTTAAAGAGCTTCTGAAGGACTTCAAGTACCGGTTTTCCACCCGCTTTCAGAAGCTCCGCTGTAATTCCATTCTCGCCTGGGGCATTGCCGTTTTTAAGGTGCTGGAGAGCTGTTCTAATCTCGCTAAGACTGACGTCTGGGATATCATCGGAATAGTGTCGGATAAGACTCGCTCTTGGATCGTTACTCACACTTGCGTGTGGCTTCAACGATGACGTGTACAGCTGCCCATAGAACCTCTCAATCTCAGTCAAAATTTCAGGTGCCCTGGAAACGATGCTGCCACACTCAGTCTTCAGCTTTGACAGTTGGCTCTTTCTGGCAGACAGATCTCTGGCTCGCTCGATCGCTTCTTCAATACAAGCTGTATTGAAGTTGCGTAAGTCCCGCCGCATGCATTTGGAGATCTGTCTGTTCAGTTGCCTGTATGCTGTCAAATCTGTTGAAGAATGTAGCTTCATCTCCCGTCTAACAGCCATGAGATTAAGAGTGTGATCGGAGAGATTTTGTGTTCTTCTGCGTCGGGTCTTGCAGAACTTAGCTCCGACCGCATGGACAGTTTCCACGAGCTTGTCATTCATATCGTCCACTTCTTGCAGTCTTCTAGGCACTGAAAACGGTTTTTTAACTCGAGCTGAAAGGTTTCGGGACTTTGGAACAGAGCACGAAGGACGGAGCGTTGACTTCATTAAAAGAGACCTCTCAAACTTAATGTTTAGGTTCAATGTGCCCCTGACCATTCGGTGATCGCTTCCAATTTTCACCCTCGTGATCACGGATACATCACTGAACAGTTGTCGTCTGGTCGTCATAATGAAGTCAATCTCATTTTTTGTCGAACAGTCGGGGCTCGACCAGGTCCACTTCCTGTGGGTCCGCTTCTGGAAGAAAGATTTCATCATAAAGAGTCCCTCTTTCTCCATGAAGTCGGCCAGCTGCTGGCCCCTTGGGTTCCGTTGCCCTATTCCTAACTCACCGTTCTCTCTTGTGCCTAGTTTTGCATTGAAGTCTCCCATTAACACCGTATATTGGGTTTTGGAGGAATGTATGGCTCTAGAGATATCCTCATACATTTCCTCCACCTCTTCATCGGGGTGTGCCGAGGTTCGTGCGTAAACCTGTATGACCTTCAGCGAATACCGTTTGGTGATTCAGAGTATAAGGTACGCAACCCTCGTCGACACACTCTCAATCTTTACAACGTTGTTAACGAAAGACTTGTGGACGATAAATCCGACACCTCCTTGGGACAGATGGTCGCCCTCCCGGTGATAAAGCAAGTTGCCGGATTCGAGGATTACCGTGTCCTCCCCTTCTCTTCGGACTTCGGATAATCCTATAATATGCCAGCGTAACTTGTCTATCTCTTCTTCCAGCTCCACAATCTTCTCGTCAGTCCTCAGCCCCTGCCCCGCCGTTACCATGGTCGCCACCGTAGCCAGATATAGCGGGGCCGCCGGGGACTAGGGGCTGTCTCTTTATTACATTCATAGGGGGTATTTGCCACAGTTGCCACGCTTGGCGAGCGGGTTTTTTATTGTATTTTTTCTGTTATCAGGAAGATGCTGCTGCCCATCTCCTGCCTGTTTCCCTTTGTCGCCTTTTACGACACCTCGGGAAGATATGGGGTAGTGGATATTCTTAACCGCCACTACACGGCAATCATAATACATCTGTAGTAACTACAATAAATATACACAACCAGCTAATACACCCAAAACGTTTCATTCATTTGTTATAGATAATCCTTCGTGCGTAGTCTGCCATAACGACAAACACGCTTTATTTTCATGTCCAAAATTTCACGTTTTAACGCCCGAGAGCAGATATAAAATTGTAATTAAAAACTATATGTGTAAAAATTGTCTCGGTTTACATTCTTTATTCAAATGTCTATCAACAAGAAATTGTAACAAATGTAACAAACGCCATCACTCTATGATTAATTTAAATATCTTTTAATCTCAACGCGATAACAAATTTGCGTTCCGAAAAAAGCGAAGTCGTGTAAACTCAAGGTACATTTACCCGGAGTGGTACACTGTTGAAATAATTCGCAACATAAAATTGAAGGCTTTACTGCATAAATGGTACAAGGCCAGTAGAGCGAGAACTGATCATTACGCGTTTGCTCGGTGTAGGGCTAATGTAAAAAATATGATAGGAGTCGATAGGACCCGCACAAGAAGAATATCAACAACGTGTTCAAAATCAAATGTTGAAAGATCCAAAATCTTTTTGGAATTTTATTAAATCCAAAAGATGTAAGAGGAGTCCACAATCGATTTTGAAAGACGGGGAAGTGTTGTCTGGTCAGCAACACACTGTTGACGAGTTCGCAGAGTATTTTTATTCTGTTTATAGTTCAGAGCGGCCAGAGTTGGATGTGACCTCCGCTATAGTAGGAGCAGGTAGTGGAAACGGAGTGGCGCGGTTGCACTTGGACCAATTACAGTTGTTACCAATGGCAGACGTATGTCGTGCGCTTAAAGAACTTAAGCCCAAACGGTCTGCAGGACCTGACCGCATTCCGCCTTTTATCTTTAAGGATTGTCGGTCAGTACTAGCCAAGCCGCTTTTGCATATATATAGCAAATGCCTTCAGGCTGCTGTGTTCCCGGAGAGGTGGAAAGTAACCCGCATTGTTTCAGTTCCAAAGGGAGGTTCAGTAGAATTAGTGGATGGGTACAGGCTTGTTGCAGTGTTGTCTTCGCCGGCAAAAGTATTTGAAGCTGCTATTCATATGACAATATTCCATTAGGTGAGCGCACAACTCTCATATGCTCAACACGGGTTTCGACCAGGAAGGAGTAAAACCAGTAACCTTCTCTGTCAGATGGCTCATTTGGTACCGAGTGGAGA